CTCGTCGTTTTCGACATGACAATAAGGCCATCAATCGCATTGTGGTCACCTGGAGACTGCTAGATCCTCCTTCGTGGATGAAAGATGACCAACCATGGTACTGAAGATACTGAGGAGCAGGCCATCTCTCACAATATTGCTCTGCATCAGAAAATTGTGCTTGGTGCCCCAACGTCCCTCACCACCACTCTCTGCTGCTTCTACTTCAGCTGCAGAGCCACCTGTTCCTCACCCCCCCTCCATCACAACCCACTGGAAATGTCTTCATTATCATCAGTTGGGTGTCAGTGTCTGGGATGGGTGCAGTAGACACCAGGCTAGACCTGTTGCCCCACTTCCTGCACTCCTGCCACAGATGTCACACACCACTCCTCCTGTTTCCCAGATCCTATTGAATAGGCCCAACATGATCTTTTGGGAGCTCTCCTAGAAGTGGGACATCACTTGGAATGGAATATCATCACTTCCTCCATTTCCCTGCACAAAAGTGACAAGTTGTATGGAAGTTCTACTGGTCTACTGAAGAACGACATTGGTTGTCATTCCTGTTCAGCCCAAAGAGTGGAGAATCAGGCAGTGTAAGGTGCTCCAGAGATCTTTGCCATGGGTTTAGCCAGCTCATTTGCAACATTTTATTGTCTGTTAGGATTATACCATCTATGTTAAGAGCAGGTGGTGACATGGCTGTGCTCTTTCTAACAATCTTACACACCTTGTCCCATACCCATGCTAAAGGGGTCCCAGAGATAATCGAGGAGACTTAGTGTCACCACAATGTCTGTCTAGCCTCCTTTAGCACTTGCCTGGCCTTAGCTTGGGTTCTTTTGTAATAGATTAAGATCTAATCGCTGGGGCGTTGTTTCAACTGTCTTAATGCAGCTTTTCTTGCTCTGACAGCTTGTTGGCATTCATCAAACCACCGTGGTACCGCGGAGGTCGACAGTACTGCCCACTTCTCTTGGGAATGGATGCTTTTGTTGCAAGATGAATTCGTGATGTGAAATAATTAACAGCATCTTGAACACACTGGAAATCACTCACAGATCCCTGTAATATTGCAGTTGATCTAAAAAGATTTTACTCGAGTCACCATCTCTGCACTCCATTGGCTGGAATACCATTCACCTATTGAAAAATATTGGAAAGTAGTCGCTTCATGTAAGTCTTTTATGACCTGCCAAGAGAAATGCAACTCATAGCTCAATATTGGAGAATGTCCTAGTTTGAATTAGGAAATGTGTAGGTGTGTCACTGTTCAGTAAAACCACCTACTCTTGAAAACAAGGACTCCAAGGCCCTTCCTCGAGGGTTGCACAAATTTTCTCTCCAGAGGTGATGCCAACTAATGAAATCACCCATGGATGAGGCAACTGCTCAAGTAGATTTATGTTGTGATTATGTGGAGGAAGGTAGATTGATGCAATAGTGTAATGTCATTTCAAGCCTATTCTTACAGCCTTCACCTGCAGTGTGGATGGTCTGGAAGGGAATATCCTGACATACCATTACTGCTACTCCTCCATGAGGTCCATTATCAAAGGTACCATAATGGGCTTGAACTTGGAATCCTCTTAGGGAAACTGGACATTTTTTCCCTGGTCATAATCTCTTGCAGACAAACATAAACAGGGTTACATGAAGCTATCAGATATTGCAGTTCTTCCCATTTTGCATGAATTCCATGACTATTCCATGGGATTAGGGTATTCAGTTCTTCAGGTGCGGAGCGGTTAAGGCTCGATCCACAACTTTAGGCTGTCCCTTCCAGCATCTTGGGAGTTGTTTATCTTGGAACAGGCTCAAGATTTCTTTGCCTAGGCAAAGGACGACCTGAGCCTTTGGTTCAGGAGCATTCTGTCTAGCAGCGGAGGCCCCTGTGGATGTGGTGGTAATTGGAGCTGTCAACATTGAGATCTGGAGCCCTGCTTCATGGCTCCAAAATCCCCACTTTGGGATGAATGCTTTGGAGAAGGTCAGGATTCCTTTGCCAGGGCAAAGGGCATACCTGAGCCTCGGGTTCAGGTGCATTTTGTCTAGCAGCAACTCAACAGCGACAGTTTCTGTATTTGAAGACTGAAGCTAAACTATGGTGGCAGAGAGTGTGGTGCAAGGAGTATTGGGGGGAAAGGGATGGCGGGATGGAGGATGGGCTAGAACCGAGGCAAAGGACTTAATTGGTTGTGCAAACAGCACACCGGCACTTTACTTTAGTTCTAGAAAACATTCTCCTTATTCCTTATTACCAATATTTCTTTCAAATTTATATCTTTTACACTACTCTTAAGAAGCTTCATGAGCTTCTTTGCCGTGGTAACAGCATACTGGACTCCTTGATGACCTGTTGTACCACACTTTACACATTCTTGGTAGTCCAAGAGATGGCAAGCATTGGCTCCAAGCCCATCACCCTGGCAGTGGAAATACCGTATAGGGTTGAGGACATACAGCTTTGCCTTGAAGTGGTACCATATAAACTTAATTGATTCTAGGACTAATGTTT